GGACCATCACCTAATACATTAATCTTATGTTACTATGTGCTTAGGATAGCAGTGTTTAGAGGACTTTTGTTCTTCATATTATTTTAATTAGATTTTTAATCAATCTACATCACTCTTCAAGCCAAATTCTATGTCAACATCCACATTGATGTGTATTGAATATGCACATTATATTTTTACAATTACTAGCAGAATCTAGCTACATTATCAGCTCCATAATAAAATACTCAGAGAGGTAGTTCACATTCTTTCATTGCATTATATGAGTTAACTGGAGGAGTGCAAATATAGTTAAAATATAACTGAGTATACAGAATTTGAATGTTTTTAATTACAGTGGGAGTAAAAAGAAAATTCTCAGAAGGGGTAAGCCTTAATAATGTCACAGAAAAAATATCTCATACTTTATGAATATAATACTTTATGAAATGTTAGCATCAGAGACTTAAAGATTGCACTAGGAAAGAATGATGTAAACATTTCATACATATAGACTATGACCACCTTATACCTTGTATCAGAAAAATATGTTCTTCATAGTTGGAATATAAATACTAGCAAGCTAAATCTTTTTATTAAGGACTCCCATGAAGGGTTAGATAATTAAAACCACTTACAATTATCTGTAGAAAGTTTTCATCTAGGATATCTGTTCAAAGATCAACATGAATCAGATAGTGTTAAAATGCAGTCGATATAGAATCATAGAATCATAGAATCATAGAATGTTTAGGGTTGGAAGGGACCACTAGTGGTCATCTAGTCCAACCCCCCTGCAGTGAGCAGGGACACTGCTAACTAGATCAGATTGCTCAGAGCCCCATCCAACCTGGCCTTGAATGTTTCCAGGGATGGGGCCTCCACTACCTCTCTGGGCAACCTGTTCCAGTGTTTTACCACCCTCATTGTAAAAAATTTCTTCCTTACCTCTAGCCTGAACCTACCCTGTTCTAGTTTAAAACCATTTCCCCTTGTCCTAACACAGCTGGCCCTACTAAAAAGACGTTCCCCATCTTTCCTATAGGCCCCCTTTAGGTACTGGAAGGCCGCAATCAGGTCTCCCCGTAGCCTCCTTTTCTCCAGACTGAACAAGCCCAACTCTCTCAGCCTGTCCTCATAGGAGAGGTGCTCCAGCCCTCGGATCATTTTTGTAGCCCTCCTCTGGACCCGTTCCAACAGTTCCATGTCCTTCTTGTGCTGAGGGCTCCAGAGCTGGACGCAGTACTCCAGGTGAGGTCTCACCAGAGCTGAGTAGAGGGGCAGAATCACCTCCCTCGACCTGCTGGCCA